CATGATCTACAATCAATTAAAAAATTTAATAAACATGTATTAATTTGATCATCTTCTCACATAAAAAAATAAATGTGTATTAATATATATATTACACAAGATCACTTGCACATTTAAAACCAAAATTGCATTGCATTGTGTACATTATTATGATGAAATGTATTTGCATTTAAACCATCATTACTGCTACGATATAAAAGTTTAAATTCATATTTGATTTCGCTGAATAACTTGTATGGTGGACTTTTTTTGTCAATCCGACTTGCAAAATTCAAAGTAAGAATATGGTTGATTAATAATGATTTAAGTCTTCTTGATGGTAAAAATTTTATAGTTAGTTTATGATTAGGGAGTATATAAAACCTTGAAAGGTCATTCAATAAAGCATTAGAAAAAAGCATTTGATAAGGCACAATCTTGTGACAATAATCCTCTTTAGAAATATCCTGAAATCTGATCAAGGAAATAAATTCTTTTAGTGTGTTGCCTAAATCAATAAAATTTTGTAGTGTCCAATTTTCAACATCATTGTTGATTTCTTGATGTTTTGCTAATCCCCATTTAACAATACTTTCCCAAACAACTATTTCATCGACAAAAAAATCATTTCTTTCAAGTATTGCCAATAGAATTAATTTTTCTAATGATTCAATTTCTCTTGACTGAAATATTTTTTTCACATAACTCTCATATTTATTAGTAAAATAATTCATTGTATACTCGCAAAGTGACTCAAGTCCAAGTTCATATGCTGCAATATATAATTTCGATATATCCACTTCAGTATAATCTCCCAATTCAATTTTACATGTATATAAAAACCTTTTAAAAATTATTATTAATATTATAAATATCATAAATAGTGTAAATATCATAAATATTATAAATAGTTTAATAAGCCTACTTGAGTATATCTTTTAAAATCAGTTCATCAATAGTTGTTATCTTAATAATATAATATCCGTTTTCTTTTGTTGCAGTGTCCAATGCATCATTGAAAAATGAACAATGAGTACATATGATCAATGAATGTACGTTGATTTCTTTGATGTTTGGTTCTACACCAACATAAATTTTTACATCACTATTCTTTCCTGTATTAAATAATCTTTCATTTGTATTAAAATATCTTTCTGATATTGTTGAATCCATTTATTTTTTAGATTTTCATATGTTGTGACGATCACGTCTTTTGTGAGGTTTATTAATTATTCTCAGTGTAACTCAACTTCTTCAAAAAGTTGAAATGCTCATAACAACTTTACCAGCGGAACTTTTGATTGAAACATTTAAATATGTTGAAAAAGATTACAAGACGCTATATTCTTGTGTTCTTGTTAATAAAAAATGGCACAACATTAATATTCCAACTTTATGGAAAAGTCCACTCTATTCTGTAGACAATGTCAAAATATTAATTAATTGCTTGTTGGTAGAAGATAAAGATTTCTTGGAGAACAAATACATTAAAATATCATTTGAACTATTGGAAAAACAACCACTATACAATTATGCCAGATTTATAAATGAAATAGATTTTCACAAAATTAGAAAAAATATACTAAAATCAATAGATAGTTCATGCTTTTATTTAGAAGAAAGGTTGTTAAACTTTATTATAGACCATTCAACCATCAGAAAGCTTAAAATCAATAAATACTTTATAAATCAAAGTCTTTTAGATCATCATAGATTAGTTACTTGTTTTCAAAATGTTTGCGAGTTACATTGCAGCATTAATAATAGTAGTCCTGGATTATTAGATAAATTAACAATCATATGCAGAAATATTCAAGTTTTAAAAATAGATTATTCTGTAAATAACAATAATGTGGATTATAATCTTGCTCAGCTAATCTCAGCACAAAATCGAATTAAAATTTTGATAATTGATAATTTATACAACTATCCTATAAAACTTTCAGATGTTTTAAAAGAGGCAATTTCTATTCATTCAAATTCAATAATCAATTATGAAAGTTATGGAAATAATACATTAAATTATTTGATATCAACCTTTCAAAATTTAAAATCACTATCAGTATTTGATTGTCATGACTACTTGTGTAGAGACAAATTAGATGAATTAAAAAATATTTCACTTCCAAGCCTTGAAGTTTTAAATATGAAAATTGCTGGTCAAGAAATTCTATTTTATTTGAAGACTTTTATTACGCTGAATGGAACCAATCTTAAACATTTGTCAATTAGTGGTAAACCAAATGACAGGGTTAATTTGGGTGAACTTGCTAAATCAATTGGACAACAATGTTTAAATTTGGAATACTTGTCAATATGTTATAGGAATAAAGAAATTGGTCGATTAATTGGAATATTTAATGGTTGTTCTAAATTAAAGCATATTTCATTTTCTAATCTTTATTCAGGTGATTATATATTAAATGGCATTAAAATATTGGCTGTTTTAAATAAATCATTATCAAAAAGTTTGAATACATTAAAATTTGAAGATCAAGTTAATATTATTAGAGATGAATCTTTAAATCAATTGATGAGGGATTGGAGAGGTCCTAGACCATTCAAAATATTTATATTTTGTGACGAAATAGTTTTTTAAAAAAAAAATCAAAGATTTAAGGTTTTTAAAATTATCAATTTTTTATATAAAATATATTATTATTAATAAATTTTTTTTAAGCAAAGATAAAAAATAATAACAATTAAAATTTTTTTTTTTTTGATTTTATAAAATACTGTAAAGGAAAAAAGAACTACACAAAATAAATATATATAAATCATATTTTGAAAAAATTGTCACATTTTAAAATGGCAATAAGAATTCTTTCAGTAATAACAATAATTGAATCCATATGTAATAATGCTTCAATGAAAATATTAAAGATTATTCTTAGCAATATCCAAATAATGAATCAATGTATTATTGTTTTGTTGTTTGTTCTTACATTAGATGATGATTAAAACTGTTGTTGTGGTCTTTGTAATATTTTTGATGGTTTATAAATATTATTATATTATTATTATCATTAATTGGAAAAATTTGTTGTGGTTGTTGCTATTGCTGTTCTAATTCGCGAGTTAATTGTGTCTGCATTAATATTGGATTTTGTGCCTTTACTACAGACAGAATGGTCCAATATAATTAATCCACATTTGAATTCAGTCTAAAATAAAAGATACAAATTTTAATTCTACTTTTTATATAAATTTCAAAATCAACTTTAAGTCAATGAGTCATGTCTAGGACTACCATTACTCTACATTCTTGATTTTTTGTATGCATGATGATGATTTTTTGTAATTCACAACAAGAAATGTTATTCATAAATATTAAAGTGAAATTACAGGATCCCGGATCAAGCTATCCAAAATAATATAGCAGAATATTATTCGTCCAACCATGAGATCCAATCACTTTAATTTAATGTTGTATTTTTATATGATTGCCAGATCTTACAATAAATAAGCAGTCAGTAAACATTCATTAGGACCAGGAAAACTCTATTGAATGTGACCACCAACACTATGATTTGAAAGTACTTTTTAAAAAAATTTTAACTGCCTCACTATAGATTTGATTAATGAAAGTCACTGCCTTTATATAATTCAATGTCCTCAGTTACATCGAATTCACAAATATAGAAAAATGAAAAATTCAATAATTTGCAGAACATTGCAGATCTACAGGGGGTCAAATGTCACTCACTAATACAGCGGTGGGGAGAGATTCAGTATGGTATAACTCTTGCAGAATGTATGGTATGGTATGGTATAGCCCATATTTTTCCATACCAAGTCACACAAAATTTTATTCTAAATCCTTTTTTGGTGGGTGTGAAGGGAAGTATGTTAGATTTAAGCATTGGTATACAACCATTTTATTACACTTATACAATACCATACCATACGTTTTGCAAGAGTTATACCATACTGAATGTCCCTATACTCCTCTTATTAGTATCATTTTTTTAAAAAATATTAGATACTTATATTTTGTCTAAATCCTTCCTTGTAATTGAAGTGACCTATTACCATGTCTATTATTGTTGTAATTATTATTATTATTATTAGTATTTTATATTCAAGCATTTATATATATTAACTTTTGAGCTACACTCATTGTTTAATTGCAAATTTTTATATTCCATGCTCATCAATTAAGTCATTTTACAAATTTATCTAACAATTTTCTTGCTTACTGCCTCTTTTTTGTACTTAGAAAGCTTTGACAATCTGTAAGTGCACTTTATGGTACAATTTATGTAAAGTGGCAAAAGTTCCTTTGACCACTTAAAGCTTTATTAATTTGGTCTCTTTATAAGACACCTTAAACTGTTCATTTAACAGCTGTATGTTTACAACAATTACTTTAACACAAATAAAAAATGTTAATAAAAAAATTTCTTATTTTATTATTGAATTTAACAAAAAATACTTGGCCCTAGTCATAATCATGTAGTTTCCCACTAAAAAATATCCACTTATCACATAATCTTAGAACTTTAAGTTGTGGCTCTTCATTAATTTCCTAATATTTGAATAAAAGCCAGTTAATAAAATAAAAATTAATAAAGCAAATATTTAATAATTTGGAAAATAGTTAATCACCTGCATTAACTTTAAAATATTTTGTCTTTTATGTGATCTAGAAAAGTATCCATATAATGCTTGTAATGTTTATTCATATTTTTGAAAATAAATGACTTCATCTGAAGCATCTTCTCCTGCTAGATGAAGTCTATGTGATACACAATGGTTTGAAGATATGAATGGGTTCATTTTTTTAAATCTTGCAGCAACACCACTTTTATACCCAGTCATATTAGAGGCACCATCACTTCCAAAATGAATTACATTTTGAAATGATATCTCATTTGAAATACAAAATAATTTGATTTTATTATAAATATTTTCACTATCTGTTGACTCTAAATCAATCAAGCCTAAATATCTCATAATTGGCATATTATTAGCAATATATTTTCCCACAATTGCTAAATGTTTATTTCCATCAATACTATTGGCCTCATCAATCATTATACTCCAATGAGATGAAGAATTTAATTCTTCAAAAAGGGAATTTTTTATTACTGAGGCTATACTATCTAAAAAATCACATGCAGCAACAGGACTTTTATAGCTTCCATATTTTGATTTAGGCTTTGATGGTTTTTCTAAGGAAGCTGGCTTTAGAGTAGAAATTTTATCACTAATGTTATTTCCAGTTTGTAAAGTCACTAAATTTGTAACAAATTACTCCGAAGTCATGTGTAACATCAGGGTGGTACATAAATATTTACATTAGAAACGTGACACATTTA